GTAAAGCTATCCCTGTACCAGGCCGTGAAGGCCCATAGGGTTGTGTGACGTCGAGGCTCCCACATTATCTAGACAATCGGCTCACAGATGGCGGTAAGTTTGTCAGCCCTATGCGCCTGCCGCCCTCTACCCCCCACGAAGTTTCCTGGTACACAGGGCCACTGTGCGGCTGGAAGGATTAGGTAAATTGAAAAAATCCACCTCATCGGGATTTGAACCCGCGACCTTCCAGCTTGTGGTATAGCCCCTCAACTAACTACGCTACCGTGTGCCCCCTCTAATAATAATAATAATAATAATAATAATACTAACGATAATAAATTAATTCAGTTCTATATATAAAAAACAACTATAGGATCAGACCTAGTAATGCTGCTGCTAATACTACTACTGCTACTACTACTACTACTACTACTACTACTAATAATAATAATAATAATAGACTAGGGGTACAGTTTTCTGCAATTATCGACAATATAATCTCGACTGATGACACTACATTACCGACTGAAACGCTGGAAATGGCATAAGGACAAACCTACAGACATTACCACAAACATTGCCCTGCTGAGACGAAGATGTTGCACTTAAAGAGGTGCGTACAGTAAGAGGCAAATGCATTTTCATAACACACTTCATTCTTTGAACTCGCAGATGAAAAGCAACTTCTCATCACAGAAAGTGTTCCCAAGCAGGGAGTTTGATCTCAACATCCCACAATGCCCCATGAAGTTTGGTTCGTCAGGAAACCACTTGTTGTATCCTGCCGCTTCCAGTGTCTCGTCTGAAACATGTACAGTTTTTTGTTTTCAGGTTCTCAAGAGTTCTGTTTCCTAGAATATCACTTCTTGTAGTCCGTTTAAAGCCAACCGACCTTACTGAGGAACATATCACCTGCTTGCCACCTGTTTCAAGCTGGTTTATTTCTTGGTTTATTTTATACCATGAAGATGAACGCGAAATGTTCATCTGAAACGTCTGTTTAGTTACAACGGACTACATGGTGTTATATCCCAAGAAAGTAGAGATCTACATGTACGTTTTTATGCAGGAATTGTTAGTATTCCAAATTCACGAAAATTTCACAAATCAGTACATGCCTTACACAGATCTTCGCAGTTTCACTTCTGTTGAATGTGAGTTTGAGGAAGTCTACGGCCCAGTAAGTTGAATGGGAAACGGTAGTGATACCGAGCCTGGAATTACCCAATGTGTATCTCACTTCGGTCTCTAAGCATCATGTGCAGTGTTGTGATTTTATTTAAAATGTTAAGGCAAGTTGTTCCAGTACTTCACATTAATTCTCTCTCACCCTCTCTCTCTTCCACAAATATATGAATCTTCAGATGGGGTGTTAACGTTTGCCAACTTCTGCGGATAGAGGATGTCGCGTGGTCAGCGCAACGGATCCCCACGGCTGTTAATTTCGGTTTTCTAGACCGGAGCCGCTGAGTCCTAGAAATAGCTCCTCAGTTATCCTCACGAGGCTGAGTGTACCCCGTTCCAGACTCAGTACTTCTCAGAAAATCTGGTAACGCCTAGAATCGAACCCGGGACATCTGGATCTGTAGCCAGAAACTCTGACCACTAGACCACAGAGGAGGCCGTTAATGATTTTAGAACATAAGGGAATCAAAATTTTCCTCAATACGATAAAAATACTTACTGAAAATAGTGACGAACTCCCCATTTCCTTCCGGGTCCCAAGTACCGATGTAAGCGGCGTCTTTTCTCCAGTCGTTAAATACGTCACGTATCCAGATTGAGGGCAGCGTCTTAGCCTCCGTCAGCGAATTGATCACTACCAGGTGAGCACCTTCATTTTCGCACATATCCCGAGCTTTTCCCCAGGTTTTAATATCTGTGTGGAATTTGTAATATCCCAACCCAGGCAGAAGTTCGTAATCAGCAGGTGGCTTCCGACAAGGCTTCTGTTCCTCTGTGTCTGCGTCCCGAGGAGGTACTGTGAAAGGAACAAGGCGTAATCGTGTAGGCATATGAATACATGCATTTCGAGTGTCTGCAGACCACTCTGCGCTACAGAGAGCTAAAGCACCACTGCGAAATTTCGATTTAGGGCACACATACATATGAATTTCTATATGCATATAAAAGATAAGAAGAAGGGGCTAGGGCCCAACAAAGAGCTGTAGAGCCATTGACCAATGAATGAAATAATTGAATATAACATATATGCAGAACATATACCTACATATTTTGGCCGCGCCATAGCTCAAGCGGTTAATCGCTGGCTTCCCACCGCAGCGGCCAGGGTTCGATCCCTGGTCTGGTCGAGTGTGATTAGTGGTGGACAAAGTGGCGCTGGGGCAGGTTTTCCCCGAGTACTTCGGTTTCCCCTGCCAATCTTCATTCCACCAATTGCTCCACAGTCACCCTCACCTATCATCTGGGGCTGGTACAATAGGCCAGAAGTGGCCGCAGTACAAGGGACTTAGTCCCACTCCACCAGCAATAAACAAATACATACATACATACTTTATATTTTTTTAGTTTTTAGGGTATTTGGAAAGCATGGATATGTACTAGATAATTATCTTCACGTACTTACAGAGCACCTAGAAATATTTAAAAATAAATTGTTATCGAGATGTTTAAATCTTGTTGATATGTACCAGCCTCGGTTAAAATAGGACAAAAATAAATAACTTTTTTATGAAAATCAAGACGAGTTTCTGAAATCGTCTCAAGATTAACTCGCACAGAACCAGCCAAATTCTTACCAAAGGAAAATAAAGAAAAAGTAAAACAAGGCCTTAGAAAAGGATGAAATGCATTTTATAAACACTAAATTTCCTCCATTAATCTTACATTTGTGTAGACGATTAACAGAGGGGACCGATATGTTGTTAAAGCTACTTCGATTTCCATGCTCGAAGATCATTACTTGACAAGTTTCCGCTATTAATTATTCAGCTGTCCTAATTACAATTGTTCTAGGGTTACCATCGAATGTTACATTCAAGTGGTTAGGAATCTTGCTCCATATTCTGAGGTTTTGAGTACAGATACAGACCAAAAAACGGGATATCCCGACAGATTACATCCATAAATATCTTCATCCGTTCCAAACGAATCTTAAATTAGGTCATAATAACTTCATCCCTCAGCCTTTCCAATTCAATATTCACTATCTGATCTACTATTATTCAACGTTTAATAGTCTAATATTAGCAGTTTATGGCGTTGTTAAATGGACCAAGGATAAATAAATACACTGTGTGACATGACGGCTGAAAGCCTTAATGGTGGAGTTTCATCGGACGTCAATTGCTGAGCAACGGCTCGGAAATAACTTTCCCGCTACAACGAATACCAACTATCGAGTCGTTGCCAGGTAGCAAGTTGATAAACACAATATTCCCATGACAACAAACAGAATAACAGAGGATAATTAACTGCTAGACTTGGAAACCCGTATTCGGGCCGATTGGCAGTTATAAAAGGAAGTTCATTCTTAAATTCGAGACATTAGTGAGAGATTCGTCAGAGATCCTTCATAGAGGTTCGTGAGACCAACGTCATTTAGAAGTAGTTCAATGTGTGAGCATTTATAGTGAACTGTAATTGTGAAGAAGTGCCAATAAAAGCAATCATCAAATCCGGGACCCATTATTATTAGTCACGCTAACTCCCTGATACGTGACAATATAAAATTAAATAGGTTTTTCCAAATTCTTCCAAAGCAAACAGAGTTACAGAACTGATGTATATAACCTTCAATTTTTGGTATTTTATAAATGTTGTTAATTCACTTTTAGTGAATAAGAAACAAATATCATTATACTAAAATATTCGTGAGAGATCAGAAGTAACAATGTTGAATTAAAAACTAACGTTTCAGAGATCATCAGTATGGATATGTCGAAAATGTATTGGCATATTTATTTTCCCTGAAAGATTCAAATCTTAAACAAATAACAGTCTTACCTACGACAGTGGCCAATAAGAAGACAGAGTCAATGCCTCCACATTTTGCAGTAGATTGTTTAACGTCTGCTTTCCAAGGACCAACTTCATTTTCATTCTGATCAGCACCGTGTTCCATCTCCACCTGCAGTAAATAATTTGTGCAATTTTCTTACTCTTGGGAAGAAACTGGTAGGTTCAAGCCCATTACAGGTAATTTGGAGAAATTTGAAACTACTCCAATTTTATCAAAATCTCAGTAACGTTATATATACATAAGACTTCACCAAAATTAAACGGATCTATTACTCATCTACATTAACCTTTTAGCTGGTAAGGGTAAGTACGAGAGCTGGAGAGGGGGAAACATTGACGTATGTTATCGCTGCAGAAAATTTCTTTCTCCCACTAAAATATCTTGTTTCATTTCGTATATTTTCCTCATTTAAATTAAATGTAGCTAAGTAACAGTGCATTCTGAACTTCTTAATGTGTTTTTTAATTTTATGTTAAAAATACAACGGGAAGAAGGTGTTTCCATTAGTAACTTCATTCATGCCTATTGCAAATCTGGACTGGATTTGTTTAGGTTAGGTTTGCTTCGGTTAGTTTCGAAGAGTAATTTTGGATTCGGCTAGGTTATGTTCGAGTAGGTTAGGTTAGATTATGTTCGGGTAAGTTAGGTTAGGATGTGCTCGTTCACATCAGGTTAGGTTAGGTTTGTTTCGGTTAGTTTCGATGAGGTAATTTTGGATTCGGCTAGGTTATGTTCGAGTAGGTTAGGTTAGATTATGTTCGGGTAAGTTAGGTTAGGATGTGCTCGTTTACATCAGGTTAGGTTAGGTTTGTTTCGGTTAGTTTCGATGAGGTAATTTTGGATTCGGCTAGGTTATATTCGAGTAGGTTTGGTTAGGTTATGTTCGAGTAGGTTAGGTTAGGTTATGTTCGAGTAGGTTAGGTTAGATTATGTTCGGGTAAGTTAGGTTAGGATGTGCTCGTTCACATCAGGTTAGGTTAGGTTTGTTTCGGTTAGTTTCGATGAGGTAATTTTGGATTCGGCTAGGTTATGTTCGAGTAGGTTAGGTTAGATTATGTTCGGGTAAGTTAGGTTAGGATGTGCTCGTTTACATCAGGTTAGGTTAGGTTTGTTTCGGTTAGTTTCGATGAGGTAATTTTGGATTCGGCTAGGTTATATTCGAGTAGGTTTGGTTAGGTTATGTTCGAGTAGGTTAGGTTAGGTTATGTTCGAGTAGGTTAGGTTAGATTATGTTCGGGTAAGTTAGGTTAGGATGTGCTAGTTTACATCAGGTTAGTTTCGATTCAGTTCTGTTAGTTTGGGTTCGATTGGTTTAGGTTAGTTAAGTTTAGTTTAGGTTTGTTTAGGTTAGTTTGGTTCATGTTAGGTTATGTTACAGTAATTAATCTTCGGGTTCCACAGAATGTAAAATTTCTGAGTAGCTGCGCAACTGGCGACCTCTGAAGAAGGGTTCAGCTTCATGGAATCAGTTTTAGTTTGAGTTAGGTTGTGCTATTTTAGGTTAGCTAAAGTTAGATTAGTTTAGGTTGGTTTACGCTAGGTTAGTTAGTTAGGTTAAGTTAGGTTAGAGTCTTCTTCCTGACCTGTGCGATCCAGTGGCCTGTCTTGTTACGGCGACTGGTGACTGAGAATTTGAAGGCTGGTGAGTTTTGGGCCGGACACGGATAATCAGCTGAGGCTCCAGCACACCACAGCATGCACATAACCGCAACACATCCACACAATTGTGTCATGGTACCTGTAGAATAAAAATCGTCATAACTCCATTAAACACAGTTCTTTTTGATTAACTGATAAATCAAAAAAATATCCTGTCTTTAAAGAATCCTCCGTTAAGGGACTGGTTATTCTGGAACTGTACTAATCAAATCATTTATTAAGGAATCCGGTGGTTCATTGTCTTATTAAGAAAGACCTGTCCTTGGAATATATGCGGAAAAGAACACGAATTAATTTTACACCCTCAAAACCAGATTCCTTAATATCTATTTTTACTATTTTACTCCCACACACGTCACTCTAAAGTTAAATGTTCCTTTCATCTTTCCCAGCCATCTTTTCTATGCAATTGTCTGTTCTCAATGAATGCTACATGTCCCTCCAATCTCATTTCTTTATATAATCTTGCTAACAGTATGCCATAATAGGATGGTCTAAGAACGCTCTAGACTTGTATTTGGAAGGTACTGGGTTCGAATATCAACCGAGACAGCAGCTACACTGAATGATATTTTCCTTTGTTTTCCTGAGACACTTCGGGAATTCTCCTGCTTATTAGTTCAATTAGGCTGCAGCCACTCCTCTCCAAGGCCTTTCTAGTTTATCATCATTCATCTATCATCCTACCAACCTGCAGTTTATAGTTTTGATACTTAAAGTGTCATTAATTAGCATAATGGAAGTAAACACCCTGTAAACAGAACCATCTGTTTAATGACGTTGTGATAATATTTGTGTATTGCAAATGATGCAGTAAAAGCACCGCACTTTACGAATCCCTTTAGGATGCAGCGTACTGTATATAAGCCGATGAACATTTAAACTGCGATTTCGAATCGACGTCACATGGGTTCGATTTTGATCTATAATTTAGAGGCTAAATTATAATTTATGGCTATGTACCTTTCTGCGTGGTGTGAATACTTTGTAACAGTATATTTTTATACACGACAAATGAACAACAAGGCAAAAGAGGCATATAAACCCGAAAGGAGAAAAGAAGACATTCTGAGAATTAATACTGGTATTTATCAGGCTGCCGGTCACGGTAGCCCCGCGGTCTAACACATAAACTGCCTTCGCTCGCTTGGAAACCGGGATCGTGGGTTCAAATCCCACTCAGGGCACGGATGTTTAGTTTGTGAGCGTGCGTTTTTCTGTGTTTGTGTACAGGTAGAGGCCTTGCGACGAGCTGATCACCCACCCAAGGAGTCCTATCCAATGTGTAAGATCTAGAAAAACCGAAGTGAACGGAGAAGTTCATGGAGGTAGGCCTAGGCCCACTGAGGCTGTAGTGCCAAGAAAAGAAATTATCAGAAATTATCAGTAGCCACGCGGTCTAAGACATGAACTGTCTTCGCTCGCTCGAACGCTGTGATCGTGGGTTCGAATCCCACTCAAGGCATGGATATTTGGTGTGTGTATACATTTATTTTGTGTTTGTGTTGTCCTGTGTCAGGTAGCGTCCTTGCGACGGGCTAATCACTCGCTCAAGGAGCCCTACCGTCTGTGAAAAATGATTACGGAAGTGAATAAGAGGCCGGGGCCCTGAATGTCCTTGAAGAGCCATTTGAAAAGAAACAATAGATCAGACTGGAGTCAACCATACTTCCCACTCGTGAAAGAGAACAATATTCTGAGGACATGGGCATTTGCGTTCTTCTGATGCTCAGATCATGCGCGTCTTGGGATATGACAATGTGTAGTTCGATAAATATCAATATTTCGGAGGAACCTGCTTCCTACATCTTCAGGATAGAAGAGTAAGCCAAATGTGGGGAAAAGACGATACTTGATGTAGGAAAGTCTTCTATTACATGTATCACGTATCATTTTCCTCTCTAATCCGACTCTAATAACATGAAGACAGAGGCAATAGCACCCCCCCCCAAATTACGGTACCTACCTAGCAAGACACACGGCGTCAGATCCTAGAGGACTATAAATACTCATCACTATGAGAACCTCTGATATGTCTTTTAAGTGACCGAAATTATTAACTCTGGGTTCATTTCGCCAAACAAGTTTTAGGTGTTCACCATAGTCATCTTGAAACGAATTTTTCATTCCATGAAGCGCTCAGAGCCCCAGTGTATCTTCAGAAGCAAGTTCGGGACTCACAGAAGCCTGCATCGACTTATGAAGCCTTGGGATATAAACGTCTTAATATATTTTAAAACATCCATTCATTTCTTTCATAAATAAAGAAAGCAGAAAAGGAAAACAACGGATGATTAACCTGTTGCTTCTGGCATTCTTACTTTGGCAGAGTATTGTGTATTGTCTGTGTGCCAAATTGGAGGATTTTAGAGACTTTCACATTAATTTATTTTTAAAAGTACTTTTAGAAAATCAAACGTATTTTTACAGCCTTCAAGACAATTTATTTATTCTTGAAAGAGTTACAGTTGTGAGACGATAATGTATTATGGAACTCAGTAATCTGGTTTAGAATAGTGTCTTTACTTGTGACTGAAAATTTTAGTTTTTTTTTCTTTTTTGTTTTCTTTAAAATTATTTCCAGACAACAAGGCATGTAGGAGAGTTTCTATGTAACTTATTTTGCCTTGAAATCTAAATTACATAGAAGTGGTCTGAACTCATGAGACACGCGATGTATACATGTGCACACAACTTGGCATTAATATTGTGAAATGACGCCTGAAAGCCGGAATAGTGGAGCTAGAGCGGAAGTCCAACATTAGCCAACGGCTCGCCAAACACACGTTCCCGCTGCAAAGAATTGACGCAGAATAATCCATTTTTGGACAACGGTTTGGTAAACACGTTCCCGTTGCAACGAATAGACACAGAATTAGAGAGGAACTGTAAGATATGGTGACATATATTTGGTTCGTGCCGAAAATTATAAAAAAAGTTAGTTCAGTTTATTCAATAGAATTAGCTGTGAGCCGTCCTTAGCTATTCGGCATTCGCAAGAGAGTTCAGTGTTCAGTTGTGGAGTGTTAACCAGCGGACAGCGGAAGCTGAAGTGACCGATTCGTAAATCAGAACCAAGTTAAGATACACAGAAGAGAAGATGCTCGTAGTCCAATAAGGAATGGAGCGAGTCTGAGACAGTCATTGCTTGTGAGCTATTATTGTAATTGTAAAGAAGTGCCAGTAAATCCAATCATAAAATCTAGAACCCGCTATTAATCACACAAACCCCCTCATACGTGACAATATCATGTACATATTTTTGGAATTTAGGATATAATTTAAAATGTTCTCCTCTGCTGGTATGTTGTAGGCCAGCCGTGTCAAACTTGCGGCCCGCGGGCCGCATACGGCCCCCATAGCCACAAAGTGCGGCCCCTCAACTTTTAGAGCTAATTGATATTAAAATCAATATTAAAATTTTAGTAGAAATATTTTTTGTGAAGACAATTTTCCAACAGACCAGAAGAGAAGAAGTCTCACGCAGACATAAATTAGCAGGCTGCAGGAAATTCAATGTTTTGCTATTTCTAACATAATTTCTTAAGTAATCTCCTTTTTTACATACTGAAAACTGTTTGATACTTGTCAAAAATGGCATTCTCTTGCTTTTTAAAACTGTAAGATATGTGACTTTAGGTAATTATATTGAAATTATTCCTAAACAATAAATAGAATTAAATTTCCTTGTATCAAAATCTAATATATATTTCTATTTTGAAGTGCGGCCCTGGACTATTATTTATAGGGCTGTGGTGACCCTCTGTGCAAGTTGAGTTTGACATGCCTGGTGTAGGCTGTATAGCAGCAGGTCTTTGCAACCTTATCCCTGTAGTTGAATTGTAGCGGATTAATTAATAGAAGATAATAGAAATTTATACTCACCACAGATGAATCCGTGCTTCTATCTTCACAAGAAGAATTTCGGTCTTGCTCTGAATGACGCATTACTTCAGGGAAACTTGCCATCTTTTATATACCCCGACTATACCATGGATTTATATGGATTATCGGACAAAATCTTATTATTTTGGATTAAACCTTAATAATGCAAATAGTGCAAGGTGCGACAACATGTGTCAATCAGGAGACTCGTGACAGCGGCTTGTCTCATCCGTTGTTTTGTAGTGACGTAACGGAACTACTTGAATATGTAATTTTGGAAATATTAGGGTCAGCGCACACCAAGGAAAGCGCCGCAATTTTGAAGATATTTTGTCAGACTGAGTTGAACACATGGAACTGAACTGAGCAGCTCAAACTGGGGAACGGCAACGCAACTGTAGCGCAATTCATGGAAGACTAAGAAACTGTAATCAAATGCAAATGAATAAGCCAGTCTTCTCACAAGCGCGTTGCAGAATAGCTTTCTAATTTCGTCTCTTTTTAAGGTATTGTCAAGCGTTCGAATGATTTTGGACGGGATTTGGATTGATAACTGGATTTATTGGACAGTTTTGCAGCTCGTGACTACAATTTACTACTCACAAACTAGTGTTCTCATTCACGTTGCTTGGTAACAGCTTCCAACGATATAGCTTCGTAAGCTTCCGTGTCCAACGAATCCTCTCCTTGCTGGCTGGTACCCATCAGCTGCAGCTCCCGAACTGAAGTAACTCAAGTCAAAGTCAAAGCTACGACATGACCGGCGATTATTGGACCAGTCTGTCTTGGTGTCAAGCCCTCATCTGGAGCCCAAGGCCAGATTTCTGTTACTGTCAGACATTTGAGGGTTTGCTGTTGCCGGCGTGTTCTCTGAGGAGAGGACGGGTCTGTTTTTTACAATTGATGCTGGTCCTCGTCAGCGCGTTCATTCTCCCTTCCGAGTCCTGCGGGACTCATGAACATATTTTACTGTCTCAGACTCGACAATCCCCTAAACCTGGAAACCCAGCTCCTCGTATGTATATCCCCCACAAACAGGGAGACCCAGTTTTACCCTTAGGCCTGGGTTCCCTTTTCGTCACCTCCTACGACTCTAAGGGCTACTGTGAAGGTGTTCGAACCCGCCTCCAAGAGGGATCCACTAACTGACAACTCCACATTGACTCCTTGTGTAACCTAGGCACGAACCATATAGAAAACAGAGCTTCCAACAGTTAATTCAATTGAAGAAATCAGCCTCCTGGGATTTGGCACCGTGTATATGCAGTGTTAACCGACGTTTCGGAGGAACGTATCGCCTCCATCTTCAGGGTAGAAGGAAAAATATAAGAAATCTGCAGGCAAAGAGACTGTGAGAACCAGTAAAAGTAGTCTGCTTCACGGTCTCTTCGCCTGCAGATTTCTTATATCTTTCCTTCTACCCTGAAGATGGAGGCGATACGTTCCTCCGAAACGTCGGTTAACACAACATATACACGTTGCCAAATCCCAGAAGACTGCTTTCATCATAGTCACAGCCGCGAAAACCTCAAATCTTACACAGTTATTCCATTGTTACTCTCGTACGTTGCTTAGCAATGGATCTGGTATTTTTGCATGCCCGCTTCAGTGGGAAGTCAACGACTAACCGCCTGAGATCTGGCGCGGCCATTATGATGTGTCTGAATTTAGTGTTTATAATTGTGAGGAAGTTGAGCTGCTTTCCCTTGACAGTGGCTGCTCCCCCACCTTGAGCGTAAGGTACCGGCTGCTGCAGTTTGATAATATCTCCTGAATATCTCTACGTTTCAGCATTGGTTCAAGTAACAGAACTCGCTCTTTCCTTTGCATGTTTTACCTCAGACACAGCACACAGAGCCTGGAGTGTGTCAGTCTCTGCCATATAACTGAGACTTAGGCCAGCTGTGCACGCATCTACAGAAGTGGACGCCATATCCCCCTCTTGTTCTGAAGGAACTGAATCTGTCCCTTAGTGATCGAACGTGATATCAGAATATCAGGCCTTTACCTCTCATACGACAAACACTGCAAACATTAAAGCCCCTTGCAGAAGCGAATTAAGAAATTATGACTTAATTACTAAATAGTTATACTGTTAATTACACGGAGGCTAACGCCAAGCGGGCAGACATCCACAAATTCTTTATAACTTGAATGAGGTACAGCCATTGAGCATATGGAGTAGAATTCCACGCACTCTGCAACACACTACAGTAACGATTTGAAACACATTTAAACGGTAAAAAAATATCTCCGTCGGGTATGCTATTTTCTTTCTTCGTATTTGGGAGGCCCCGACTTCATATCTCGGCCCGGATACTGGTTAGAGTGAATAAGGTTTTTCGCAGTTTTATCTCTCGGTCCGTCCATCAAATTCCCGGATTAAAGCTCAAATTAAGTCACTACATCTTTCTTCCACATTCCTTTCAATTAATTATTTAATAATAACCCTATGGTTCGACGCCGTACAGTCTGCTGAGCTACTGACATCGTCCTTTCATAGTTTTTCTTGGGGGTGAGGTGAGACTGAGTCCACGTGGTACGTCCCCCAATAAAGGGCCTGTTGTACCTGCCCCTTGTGATAGGTGTTGATGAATGTGAATCAGTGGGTGAAATGAGAACTGGCTGGGGAACCCGAAGTACTCGGAGAAAAACCTATCCCAGTGCCACTTCGCCCACCACAAATTCCAAATGGCCTGACCTGGGCTCGAATGCTGATCACCGAGTTGGACGTCATTTCTTAAATCACATATTCATAAGCTTTAACTAGCAAGGGCGTCACTGTTCTCTGTGCTGAAGGAACGCGTCTTACATAGGCATAACAAATTAAAGACATGTTCTCTGCATTTTTACCATCCACACTAGATAGTGGTTAGGAGCCAGTTTCACAATTCCAACGTTTTCTTCTGCGAAGGAATTTTCTTAATAATTTGTTGGGGGTTCTGTAGCTTTCGTAACGTTTCTGGTCACAGAGGAAGAGAGATAAGTATAATATTTATTGGAAAATATTCTGCAAATCTCTAGTGCTGAGAGTTTCTGATCACAGACCTTTGTTCTTCGCTTTTGAATTCTATTAATAGAGCGAATACTAAAACGTGGTGCAGTAGCATTACTACAAAACTATATTTTATGGAAGAAAACTGGCAAAACAGGCTTTCATCAATGAACCAAAAATACAAAATTTGTTATTAAATGATATATGCACTTACATAAAATAAAAAAAAAAGTTTTTCGAGTTGTGTCCCGTTACAATATATAAATCAGAGTCTATGGAACAGTAAGTTTTTGTTAAGATACAAATTATTAACGAACATAAACCCTTTCGTTATTTCAAATCAATTCATCTACTATTTCTACGGCTACAAATACCAGTTCTCTTTCTGTTATCTTTACTCTTCTATCAATTCATTTTCTAATTTACGTTTCTATTCCCTTGTAGCCTCAAGTGGGGTTTGTCCACTTCATTTTCCATTTCGTATCTAGTTTTGAATAAATACTGTATTATATTTTTACAGCTTTTAATGTTCTTTCACGCTAAGTCCCCATTTATGCTTAACCACTTACTGCATACAAATTCTTCTTTCCACTCTGAGTACTTACATAACGCTCATTTTGAGTCACTCATAACCTCTACATAAGTCCTCATCCCAACCCTTCTCCTCACTTGTATTGGCCCTCAAGTGCACCAGCGTGTTACCCCTCTACATTTTCAGGTTTCAGATTTTGGCACTTGCTTCTCAGAGCAAGTTTCTATTCACAGAAGTACCTTACAAAATCTATGAATGTGAGGGAAAATATATGAATATAGCAGCAAGATTCGATTTCTTCTCGAAATTTTCTCCTGTAAATATTTCTTCACATAAAAAACTCAGTATCTTGGAATTCTTTGCAGAATATTTCACACTTTTCTATGCACATCATAAGCACATTCTTCGGGCTCAGACTTCAATCCAGCTTATACCACGCACGATTGATTTCAATTTCATTTTCAATTATATCCAACACTCACTTAGGGAGATATCAAATATTTCAGATTTCATTACTGGTTGAGGTATAATTTATAAATGTGCTCAATTCAAAACTAGATCTGCCTGCAGTGGAGTTGAATTCATAAATAAATATGTACTCCTGATACATATTGTGGTGACTGAATAAAATAAAGGAACTTTACAGCCACAGTATGAAATTAAGGTGTAATATTTCTAACTATGAATAAATGGCTTTTCTTCACAATAAAATGAAAATAATACAGAGAGGCAACATTGTATGTTCTCCATTGGGTTAAAATGGATTCTGAAAGTCGAGGGCTAGCAGCAAGTGTAAACGACAGACACATCCTCTCGTGAGAGAGGACGTTACTTATGGACTACGACCGCAGGGGTTCAGTTGAATTGATGACCCTGAGTCTCAAAGAGTTAGAGGCTAAGCCGAACTGATTGGCGGTAAACTTCCAGTCCTAAAGTAACTCTGACCCTGACTCTGACTAGAATTAGAATTGGGAAGGATTGACCTGAGTTCTAGAGTTCTAAGTGAGTTGCTGAGATAGAACTGAGAGAGTTGGCCTTCGAAGATGATTGAGAATAATGTCAAGAAAGGAATTATTCTGTGTGAAACACGACTTCATAGTGTGCTGCATTGACAGTGAAACTGTTATAAATCCGTTGCAAGGATAGGACTAGTGAAGATTAAGAAGAATTACTGTAATACTTGTAGTTACGAGTTTAATGTAAAAGATGTCATTAAATCCAAACATCGAATCCAAAACCAGTCTGTAAGTCACGCATAACCCTAAAGTACGTGACAATATATAGATTCAGAATAAAGCTGAAAATAATTTCCAAAATTTAGTGGTGATAGCTACGCTAACAAAATCTGGGTAAACGGAGAAGTTCATGGATGTAGGCCTAGGCCCACTGGGGCTGTAGTCATCATCATCATCATCATCAGTAATCTGTCAGACGACAGGTCCACAGTCTCTTCCAAAACAATTCCTCCACTTAATGCGATCTAGAGCTTTCTCCTTCAAATGACAGTATCCTCTTCTGTCCCCAAGGT